GTTGAAATTAAAGGCTCCTTCAGAGGGCGCCTCATCCTTCGATGGGATACTCCCTGTTTGTCACGGCATCCTGTAAGATCGGTATCGGCTTATACGTCATACGCCATTCAAATGTGTCATAACAAAAGCGATAGCCTGTCAAGCAGAGGTTTGCCTAGAACGGGTTTTCTTTCCTCTTCCTTTTACTTGTTTTTTTTCTGTATGGAAAGCACAGCGTTGAAGCTCTGCAAGTATGGCAAAAGTGTGATATTGAAAACATTCTGACCTTTTCTTATGCCGTTCCGAAATGGTGCATGCAAAAATATGTGAAGCCTCAATGCAGCTTGACGTTTCGCGGGGTCAAACAGTTTTTGGGCTCCAGAATCCAGAGGTCTAGAGAACTTTTTTGGGATAGCGCGTATTGTGCGATGTAGGACGTACACACATTCTATTTAAGCTGACGCTAAATCACTACAAAATGCGCGACTCTTCCGCCGACCCGTCTGCGTCTCTGCCTTCTCGCCGCGCGACGGGCCTCCTGTCGGGTACCTATCCCCAGCGAAAACCCTTGTAACCTTCGTAACAGAAAGCAATACAATAAATTATTATGTGCTTCTCACGCCTAATTCTTTGGTGTAGAGAAAAAAAGCTTGGATAGGGCAGAACTAAGCAGTGGTACACTGAACCTCGCAATTGGTGCAGGTTTGCAGAGGAAGTATTAGCAAATTCCGTCGAGACCACCTCGACTAGTGGCGGCGCACTGTAATTACTAATAACTGCTTGTTAAGACGCGGCTGTAACAACGATTGCGATAATACATCTAAGTATACCCAATATGATGAGAAAGTGACTAATCCTTCAAATTCCTCATATTTTCTAGTGAATTTTTTGCCATCTGATGATTGCATATAAGCGGAAAGAGTCACGTATACAAGGAGAGCGGGCAATGAGTGAACGACTTCGTTCACAGTTGAGTGGATTTGATCAACACTGCTAAATCACAACGAATGAATTGAAGAAAAATTCCATGTGATAAAAAATCTTCATAGTGGCCACCTACGTGGACGGCATCAGAAAAATTTGCCCTGGAAACATGGTGCACTGGTCGAGCTCAATGGGGTCTTCGAAGGATCGTGTACCATAACGACGTTTTCTGAAAAGCTGGTTCCGAGGGGTTTTGCACAGTCACAGCTAATGTCTCTAAGAGACTATTCAACAATGAAAATACGAGAAATTATGTATGAGGTTCGAGCATGAGCAATTACGGTAGGACTCCTTGAGCTTGACCATGATGGCAGATGACGTAGTATGGATTCCGAATACTACGGTGCGGTGCAAAATCATAGGACACCCCCCCAAAAACATGAATATCTCGGCTTCTAGAAATCGTCATTCATAGCAACCTGTAAAATCAGAACCGCCTTCATAAAAAACCTATACTCACAAGTTACCAGGTTATGAATTGTACTTGTTTTTCATATTTTTAGACAATTTTTTTTACTTTTGGAGCCGATGCAAAATCATAGGACACCCTCCTCGAACCTTAAGAATACAGAAATAATACTTTAAGGAATATTTTACTGTAGCACACTCTTCAACGGCGGTAATACTTGAGGAGAAAAAATCGCTGAAGTGCGACATCGGAATCCCCCCTGGTTAATATGCTATAGTTTGTACAAAAAACAGAAGTGGAACTGCAGCGGGACAACGTGGTTCATCGAGTTCTTCGACTGGCGCCAGTAACGTCTCCATCGTCCCTTCGTGTGCAAGATTGGTTGAGCAGAACCTGATCGCTTGAAGACATGCGGCTAAGCAAAGTCTGGTAATCGGCCCGGCACCATTCGGGGTAATCGCTCACCTACGGTCATCATAAAGTCGCATGCCATGTCCAGCCCATTTGATATTTGACTCTATGGGTGAAAAAAGTCCCTGCTTTGGAAATGGGAATCCCCTACAGTCGTACGTCCGCCTTCCCAAATAGCTAGACAGGACCTCTCCGAACTTCACAAAAGTCCATCAGAATGAAAAGTTGCCTCCGATCTTCCCGTCTACAAAAAACTCCTGTCCGCTAAGTTCCGCACTCCACCCCAAAATCACAAAATGCGACACCCCCCTCATTCGTCCGACTCGGCCGAAGGGTCCTAGATGTCGATGCCAGGGTGGCACGTTGTGCAGATGATATTTACTTTTGATCATTCCCTTACTATTCAATTCCAAAGAACTGGTTTTGTTGTTACTGGTTCACAGATACAGATCATGAACAGTGAATGTCCTTCGAACGAATATGCGTCACTTCTCGTTATAAAATTTTATTCGACTCGAAGTCCTTTCCCTATTCATCAATGCGTCTTTTCTTATCAACCACTGCAAAATTTTAAATACACTACTGCAAATTACCACTTCTACTACCACTTATTTTTGTTATTTTACATCGGCTTCATGACTTTACTCTACAGTTAACTTAATCACTACATACGTGGTCTTATCTGTTTTCTCAGTTCAGCGCTGAATTCATACTGATTCATGGGTTTGGGGATCACGGCAGTTTTGTCACTTTCAATGACCCATACCCTCCTATCACCATATATGTTTTTTGACCGATTGAATTTCCCTGTTTTCTGACTCAAAACCAATTAGGCCTTGTATGGTTGATTATTTAGCTCGCCAACGATGGAGCACGATGACTCTTTTTTGTCCCCCCCCCTCACCCCCTTCCCCTCCACCCTCTTCCTGAGCGAATTTTGCGCACACTTTTGGCATAGCAAGTCTATAAACTCGTTGTCTTGGTTTTCGTAGTAATCGAAGCAATACAGTGGATCCATACTTATAAGGTCAACCCCAAAAAGCGCGAAACAGGAATTTTTCTCCAATCACCAGCTGATTCCACATCACTAATCTTTCCTTTGTCGCAGTGCAAATCTGGCAAAAGCAGCTTTCCCCTAATATTTCATAATGTTTTTTTGGTTGCACGGTTTCATAATTTTTGTAAAGACACCCTGAGACAATGAATATTATACAATATGAGAAACGACACATCCGGATGTGAAACTGAACATTTTTTACAATCACGTCCATGAACTAAATCTCTGGAATGTTCCGTTTCAGTCTTCAGAAGGTCAGATTTACGCATTTCGTAGTGCTCGCCTGGTTCGTGAGCCATAGCGAAGCAACTTACAAAATCCCTTGCTCCATCCATAGTTCATTGAAGACCCGCTACGTTTCCAGATATTCTACGAGTTCTGAACATTCACAAAACTCTTATAAATGATTAGAGAAGAGTTATGAGAGTAGCCTCAAACAGTTCGTCCTTTTAAAACCAGAGATACGTAACTTAATGTTTCTTTCTCGAAAAGTATGAACTGGGGAGCGATAAGACGATGCAGCGACATTGCTAGGAAGCGACAAAGATGGTCCAAAGTTAGTGTGCAATCTGGGGCGGCACAACTTCAATCAAGTTGAGCTTAGAGGGAGATTGGAGGGAAGTTCGTTCGATGACGTCATCAAAACCACGAAACCCTCAAACTATCGCGATCACTGCCTCTAGGTTACGGCAGAGCAGTTAAATACTACCACTGGGATACTTACACCGTCAATAGTACAACAGTCATATTGATGCTTGAGCATTTTTGCCACCTTTGTGCTCGCGCCTTGATTCGATACCAATCTAACAATAAGCCTTGAACGCTTTGTATAACAGCCTTCATAGTCGTGCTGGGGAGATGGAAATTCCTGGATTGTTCTTTCATTCTGTCATTATAATCTCGTCATTTTTGCTTGCTCCTAGAAGCTATTACGCATCCCTTCAAAATCCACACTAGTCGATTACGTTTTTGCTTACACAAATTTGGTGAATTGCTCCGTTGCGAGGGAACGCCGTGACGAAGTTATTACTGCTGGCTCCGCCATTGTTTGCCTCGCTCATCCACTTTTTTCCGGAATTGTAGAGCCATTCTTTTTCTAGAAAATTATATTCCTTAACTAGGTGGCGCCGTTCGGGGCCACTATTTCTGGAGCTAGCATTTGCTCAGTCCGAATCAGCTACTTCTTTCGCAATCCTCATTGCCCTCAGGCTAGAGTGAGCTCAGGGCCGAGGGACTGTTTAGTTTATTCCCGAAATCGAGGTAGAATTTCACGAAAATCCTTGCGAAGAGATCAGCCCAAATTCTACATTCTCGGTGTTAGAAAAATGGACAAGATAGTTTTTTCAAAGAATTTTTTCCATGTTTCAAGGCTTCATCGATTATTTTTTTTCTACTAATCGCGAATTCTGTTTTCATATCAAGGCTTCTTGTCTACACATACGTGACAGACCGTTGCTTGTTTTGCATGATGAACCTGAATTATTCAGCAACAAGGATCCTTACGTTTTTGCCATATTTTTGTACTTTCTATGCCCTCCGTATTACAGATCCTAAAATATCCCGTCTGGTGAACTTATCGTTTTTACGTCATATAGTCCATTTTTATTAAAGGATTTCTATCAAGGTGAACCACGATCAAGGGAATTTGGCTAATATGACCTTTTTGGGATGAGCCACGCATTCTCGTTCCATTTAGAATAGCAGTATCCTGGAAACTATCCAAAAATTGCTCAATACACTTCCAAGACAATTCTGATCCAAATCAGCAGTCTTCGTAGGGATGGATGGCTTTGTGGACCTGTACAAGATGGGAGTCGGTGCGTATGGATTCTCCTTTTCAGGTTAGGCCACCTGAAATTATGACACTGCTCTTCTAGTCAAGGCGAGCCTAGGACTATGCCTACTGTCAATCACAAGCTCGAGCATAAGCCAGGGTGTAAGCATAAGATTAAGCTGAGCCCATACCCTTAAGCTTCAGTGATTGTGCAGCTTTGGTGACTGACCTAGGAGGAGCACTGAAAGTATCCCAGTGGGATCTGGGACTTCACCCCGTACCGTGCCAGTGCTGAGCAGTGCCACTTGCCACTACATCGCTTCTCGTAACGGGAACATATAATGCAGGTAAAGCCGGAAAACTTTCATATAAACTTTTTTTTTCAGATTTCCGTCAGCTTTGAAAAAAAATCGGTCTTCTCTACCTTCTTCACTGACAAATCGTAGTCGACAAACTAAAACGGTCCTCGAAGTCGTGCTTTTCCTACGCCACCTATGCCTAGGGTTGGTCGACTACTTCTTCAATCATTCAGTGGCTGGAGAAGACGATGTATCCAACTTATTACAGTAGTGGGCTATGCGCAGGAGTGAATGCTTCAATGTTTCCATGTTTTCGAATAAAATATATTCTCCGGGTATTTTCTTAGGTCTTCAAGCACGTTGAAACTAACCTCAACCTTTGGTGATGTGAAACTCGAAGGAATAGGCCACTATCCTCGTTTCGAACACTTTATCTAATTTTTTCAACCCTTGTATGACCTCTTTTTAGTTTTGTTCCCGCATCATTTCCATACCCCAATAACGGGTCCCCATGGCAACACCATCTTGAATAGGAATCCATTGGGCAGATTTAGCCCTTCTATTCTGAGCGAATGGTCTCTTTCCCTATTATTATCTGCCAAAAAAGTGAAATAAATGACGAATCACTGAATGGGCGCATTATTAGAGATGCGGTTAAAGCTCATACCTTTCCTGGAAATGGTCTGCCTTAAATCCTCTGTGCGCCCATAAATCCTGGGAAAAAAACTTCAGTTAAATCACCGCGAATTTTTCAACTTGCACGTGGTTGTGGGAGTAATGGCATCTCGCTCAGTTAAGGTCGAATACGGAATGCCATTCATTTTTACCTATCTCGATCGGATGGGCCAAAACAATCATCTATGTTGGCGCTGCGGGCAATCCGTTTGAAATGTCAGAAGCTACTTACAATGTGGTTGGGAGGTAGTAAGCAAACCAGCCCTTTTGGCGTTTCTGCTGGGGCCGTATGCTGAATGTTGGGGAGGGGATGGGGTCCCCGAACGGTCGACGGACTACTTCAACTCGGTTGGTACGGTAGGAGAGTACTGACGCAAGTGGTGCAGCTGGTCCAGCAGCTCCGCCAGAAGGGCTGGTTTGCTCACCCCAGGACTAAGCCTTGGAGAGGGGACCCGTCCTCTCTTTAAGGCTTAGTTCTGAGGTAAGCACCAAATTGTGGCGGTTCAAGAGCCGAGTTTGGCGGAGCTGCTGGACCAGCTGCACCACTTGCGTCATCACTCTCCTACCGTACCGACCGAGTTGAAGTAGTCCGTCGACCGTTGGGGACCCCATCCCCTCCCCAACATTCAGCATACGGCCCCAGCAGAAACGCCAAAAGGGCTGGTTTGCTTACTTCTGCGGTTGGAGGTCCTGGCCTGACCCTGGAGGACTCTTCTTCATACTATTCTGGTGGCCCCTAAACAGTTCAAGCAGTATAAAGGCGATCCTTACAGACTAGTAAATCTGACTTTCTTACTGAACTATAATTGCGATCACATGGACCAGGCCTATGCTCTATGCCTATGGATGATGCTTTATACTATTCGAGTCTTATAGCCTGCCCTGGTTCATAGTTCATAACAGCGAATTCCTTCGTGACGCCTGGAATAGTTCTTTTGAGCCTTTCGAAATGCGGTTGATACACAGGGTCGAAATTCGTAAAGGGAGGATTTTACGATTAGAATGGAAGGTCGAAGAAGAAGTAATTCACCTAGTTGAGGGACCCACGGACCTCCTGAGGGTGCGAACTGACGCGCAATTCGCATGGAAAAATTTGACCTCGGCGACCTATTATGCCTCAAAGTTGGCGGGTCTGGCGATCTCCGCCCACCGACCAGCTGATCACTCGCCGCAGATCTATACGTGGGATTGATTAGATAGCGAGAGAGCGTTCTTAACAGCGAATTCCTTCGTGACGCCTGGAATAGTTCTTTTGAGCCTTTCGAAATGCGGTTGATACACAGGGTCGAAATTCGTAAGGGAGGATTTTACGATTAGAATGGAAGGTCGAGAAGAAGTAATTGACCTAGTTGAGGGACCCACGGACCTCCTGAGGGTGCGAACTGACGCGCAATTCGCATGGAAAAATTTGACCTCGGCGACCTATTATGCCTCAAAGTTGGCGGGTCTGGCGATCTCCGCCCACCGACCAGCTGATCACTCGCCGCAGTCTATACGTGGCGAGTGATTAGATAGCAGAGAGAGCGTTGAAGAGGGCACAGCGATGAGAGTCGCATCAATGCTCAAATCAACGGGCAAGGAAGGGGTCCCATTTCTCGGGTTCTGGGCCGTTTCTCATGGTTCTTCCTTCTTTCGTGTACCACTCACCATCCCTAGGTTAATTTGAAATGGGTTGCTTTTTCATCGTGAATTCGTCCTTTAAGTCACTAACATGGAGATGGTGGAGTCTAGACCAAGAGACGTTGATTGCGGCTACGCGGCTCGTACGCACTATGAAGTCAAGATCTCCTGGTACAAACCGCAGATAGTGCACGCAGACCAACTGAAACGAGTTGAGGGACGTCGCAGCAGTTCTTTGCATTGTCAATGTACTGATAAACAGACAGATTCCCTAAAACTGACCGAGACATTTTTACAAATTCATGGTATACATGTTACTTGAAACAAGGAGTAGGTATCAGGTGTCATGAAGTAGTCCATCCTAGAGTGAGGAAGAGGGGTTTCCGAGCGCATTAGGCGCGACACTATCGCGATTTGAAAGGGTGAGGCAACGACGCTAGAACCTTGTGTTGTGTATTGTCGTGCTGCCATCCTTATAAATCGCGGTCGTCTGCTCCTTCTCGCTTATAACCTGCTCTCTCACGTTTTCCCTCTCCTCGCAGCGGTGTATCGCTCTGTCATGGTTCTAGAGCCTTTTGCTTTTTTCCCTACTAACGTTCCTCATCGCACCTCTGGTCCAATTTTTGAGCCATGCACCAATTCGGTCCCAACTGTTGCTTTTAAAGCTAAATCACAGTGGACGGAGGGCGGTGCGGTTTTGATGACACCACTGAGCTTCATTGGTGGAAGGACGTTGAGAGACACCCTTCCACGCACCTTCAGTGCAGTGAGGAGCTCAGTCCACATGCTCAGTGACGTTATCAAAACAGCGCCACCATCCAGTCGTTGCTGCCTTTGAGTTCTAAAGAGGAGTCGCTGAATCATCACCAGGGATCTCCATGAGACGAGGGAAGGCTTGTTAGCCAGCCTGCCCACGTCTCATTGAGATTCCGTCCCTTCACAGCTGAAACGAACGCGTAGAGCATATCAAATAGATTTGATCAATGTTAATGGCATCACCTTTGTTCGCTTCCCTTCTATTTGCCATGAATAGCAATAAGCTGACGACTGCCAAACCTATGGTCTCGCATTCCGATCGGCTCCGTCTGCAGTCTGTCACTTCAGAGTATTTCACTGGAGCAAACTTGCCCATTCTTCACAACTAATATGGCTCAATAGATGGAATATTTTTCGGCGCCGGCCCTGACTTTTTCTTTGGAGCTGGAAACATCAGGGTGAGATGTACGGAGAACTGAGCCTACTGTAGTTGCACGATTTTACTTTCTTGCAATTGCCGTCCAGAAGCTCGTGCACTGCGGAAGCTGGGCTCCTTATACTCCGCACCCCTCTTCCTCTCCCTCTCCCGTCCCTCGCTGAGGCCAACTAAGACCATGACAGCCAGTAAAACGTTTTCAACTCAATAACCAGTCAGAAGCCTTCTTGAAGCGTTTAAACCTGGGTAATGAGCTGAGCTGATTTACGCCATGGTTAAACCACATTAATGAATCAAGTCAGCGATTTTGATTAGATTTTGACTTCTCGTGGCGTCAGCCCACGACAGGTGGTCTAGGCTCTTTGGCTTTCCGAGCCACTTACATCCTTTCCCCAAGCCATTTCGTTCCTCCGCATTATTTTTCAGGAATAGTAAAAGAATCGGAAAAAAAGTTTCATCATTATACTTGTTTCGGCACCCTGTCGTTAGGGGACATCGAAGTAAGTGACCCGCTCACAGAACATTCGATTGAAGGCAAAGTTCGGGCTCAGACCACCTAAGAAGCCCTTACCATGGCTAGAAGTGCTGGGTACGCAAGTGCAAAGGTAGCGCCACCTTTCTACATCGAAACGCGTCACTAGGACCCTAGGCGCCATGGACTTCTAACAGACTCCACCAAACTTAACATGGTCCGCCCACCGTTCGATATCTTGTCTGTCGTTGATCTGCTATGCTCTCTCTTCTCGGACTTCTCTACCACTCTCCGCGCTCACATTATCTCTCATCTCCCTGCCTGTCTTTTGAACTTCTCCACAGCATGAGAGCAAAATGCTCGTATTTCCTGTGTATTTCAGGATTTTCTTTCCTTTTTTTCTCCACTGGCGGTCCACCTCCCATCCCTACTTTCACATTTGAGTGGAATCACCCCATCAATTTAATCCTGATTCATTGCCTTCAAGTCTTAGATAGGGGGAGAGATTCTGAGAAAGGACGTGAGCAACCTTTGTTTTCCCTGGCGTTTCCCCCTCCCCTCTTCTGAGCATAGTGCTGCAAGCCCTGTCACCTACCACCGGTTTTAAATGCCCAGTTTTGAATGTTCCCTGAAAGGCCATGAGTGCTCTTATTTCTTTCGCTTGCCACAAGATGTAAATCCGAAAAGTAATTCACCAGTGACATTCCTTTGCCCTCCAGGGAAATAATGACCGTTGTTTGTTTGGATCTGTTTCATTAGCTTTATACATACAAGCGCTGCAATGCATTAAGCACTTGTCATCCTATTTTCCCCTGGAATTTAATGCTCTCCTTGAATTACCATAATCTCTCTGCCACAGAAGCCCAATACAGCCCTAATTAACAACCAGCCTGAAATCTACTATTCTTGATTGACTTCTTAAAACAAGCTATAAAATGCCGAAATACGAGGTTTGATTTGACATTTATTACCTCCAGAACGAAAAAGTCGTCTACTTTAGAAAAAAAGAGTCTACTCGAATCCATCAGTAGGGATTTACTCGAGGAGTTTTTTTATTCATTTGGATGGTATAGAGATGAGCAAGTATTTTGCATATAAGTCCGAAGGCTCCTTTGATGTGGCTGTCACGGAATTGTCACCGTGACGGCTCCATATATCTTGAACTTAGGCTCGAGAAAGAAGTGGTTTACTGCATAATCCACGCTGCCTTCAGCGCCCAGACGATCCCAAGGTATCGCCAGCCTT